CGCCAGAGGCCCTGCCCGCCGCCCCTCAGACTCCCGCAGGCCCCGCGGCCGCGACCCCCTCCGCCACCCACCGTGGGCGTCCAGGCGGCCCAGCAGGGCGCACAGCAGCAGGGTCCAGCCTGCGGCGCGGGCGCGCAGCATCCTCGGCGGGGCGGAGCGGTACGGAGCGCAGAAGAGCGGATCGCGGTGAGCAGGGGCCGGGCGGCAGGCGCTGCCTTATATGTGCGGCGCGGAGGCGGGGACTGCGGCGGCGGGAGCGGGGGAGGCTGCGGCGGCGCCGCGGGGCAGCGGAGCGGGGCTGGCGGAAGCGCCGCGGCCGCGTTGAGCAACGGCGCGGCGCCGCCTTCCCGAGAGGAGCCGGGCCCGCGGGACGGGACGGGACGGGACGGGAGCCCCCGCAGCGGCGGCGCCCCCGGCGCTGCCGCCGGCTCGTGCACACCTGGATGTGCCAGCAGGGCCCGGCAGCCCCTGCAGCCGCCCGGTCCCTGCACCCCCGGACCCCCCTCGCGTGTCCTGCGGCGGCCCCAGGCCCAGTTCCTGCAGGGACTGGGCAGGCGATCGCGGGGAGCTGGTGGTTGGCTAATAAACCTAGACCCCAAGAGTTCAGCAGCGTTAAAACTGTGTGTCAGTTCCCATCTCACCACATGGGCCACCTGATATGGCCATTCAGCCAACTCAAATCCGTGTTTTTTCACACCACGCGCGGATGTGTGAACTCTGTCAGGGTTCGCCTGGGCTACTAGACAGCAAATAGCTTCCTTGATGGGGATTTGTAACTAGTGAAAATAACTTCCGTTCAGAGATTTGCACTTCCACTTCCTCATAAACCAGAGACCTCTTAATCATTTTCCTCTAAATGTGCATTGGAAACGCATGTCAGGTAACTGAGGCCCTTTCTCTGCCAGAAGGTTTTCCAATTCTCAGCCTACACCTTTGCCGCATGCTCCCTGCCTTCTCTTGTGCATGTGGCTCCTTGGCTCCTGATACTGTCTTGTGGCTCCTAATACTGTGATGTGGCTCCTGATACTGTCTTGGATGAGCTTTTGAATGAGGGCTTGCCTGCTCCATTTCCATCTGTTACACAAACTGCAGAGGGAGCTGTGTGCCATTCGGAGGCAGCTGGGCTTGGAGACACCGCACGGAGAGGAGGAAGGTGATGTTAGGTAGCAGAGGTGATTAAAAATTGAAATGGAGTAGTTGTGCTTTATAGTGGTAAGCTGATTTCTCCAATGTCTCATACTGGAAAGATGAAGGTAAGAGGAAGAGTAATGTGGAAATTTCATATTTAACTGCGTTTTAATTTTCAGGTTTGCCACGTAAGATACAATCTGTTCCATCTCCTAAGGTAAGGTAAATAGCTATAGACCAAGCTACAATATCTATTTTAACTGGAGTCTGAGTCAGAATTCATATAGAATGTCACAAGGCACAGAACTCTAAGTCCAGAATTGTAAATTATCCGCTTGTCTACACTGAAATCCAGCCATACACCTTCTGATTGTCCTTTTTTTTTTAATCAAATTTCAGTGCTGTCTCTGTGCAGTTGTATGTCAGCATTACAACAGTCAAAACGCTTGTGTGCTTTTAACTTTGTGCAGAATATTTACCTTGTGTGACTAGATTTTCAAGATTGTGATCTTACAAATCACAGTTTATTCCTGGAGGACTTGCAAGAAGAAATGCTATTTGCTTAAAGAAGAGACATTCTTATATTATTTCAAATCACCTTTAAACTCTAATTCCAGTTAAATCTAGTTCCAGTTAAATTTATTGTCAGTTCAATCATAAAGGATGAAAATCAGGTCAGCTTCAGTTCCCAGATTAGTCTGGAGATGGTCTCATTGCTCCCTTCTCCTTTTCCTCAACCCCATTTCCTGTCATGCCCTCTCATATCTGGGAGGTTCAAGACTGGGAACCTTCCAAACTCTATCCCGATTAACCAGGTTGACCAGTGTTACTTCCTTCTAAATTCCAGCAAGATACTCCAAGGCCAGTACTCCCTAACATCAGGCTTCCAAATGCCGTCTATGTTCCGTGCAATGGCATGAGGGAAGGAGGCCATCAGCTTATGATCAGTGGAAAGCAGAGCCTGGAAGGATGTGTGTGGAGCAAGAAGGGGTGGTGAACTGTGCGGTTGGGGGAAATAATGTAACTTTGCCAAGTTAATCCCAATAGGGAAAGGAACTCGGAGGGAAAATACAAAAGCTGGTGATAGGAGGAGAGGAATAGGATGCCAAAGGGACAGTGAAAGTTGCACAGGTTGGGAGGGGAAAGGAAGGTAACGCTGAGGTGAGGATCAGCTCCTGCTGCCGCCTCTGATCTTCAGATTTCTGTCAATGGTGGCCAGGGTCTTACCATGTGCGTTCTGAATATGCAGGAGGAGACTCGTGCAGGAGCCCCAGCTCGGCTACATGCCCTTGGGTAGGGAGATGACCACTTGCCCTCTGCCTGCGCCTCTGGCAAGTTCATACTTGAATCAAGGTTGTTCATCACTGGGAAAGTTTCCCAGATTAGCAGTAGATTCTGCAAATTATCATTCTTTGGTATGTGTATCAAGGAACCATCCTGCAGATGACTTATTGATCATTACATAATGATTATCAAGGCATTTTAAAGCCATATATTGATTATGGGAACGGTGAGAAGGGAAACTAAACGTGAAACCCCTCTGTTTTGGAGAATGCATGTTTTTATCTTTATGGTCTTCCATATAATCTTCCAGGTCTGTAAACAGGTTCTCTTAGAGATAGTTATGAAATAATTTCTTGCTCAGCAAAGCTATTTCCTCTTATGCTTTCTATGCTATCATGTATAGTTGTTGACACAGAAGTGGAATGCCTCAAATAACATCACTAACGGATCAGTTTCCTTATGTTGATAGCTCTGCAGTATTTTATAATATTTACTGATGTTTTGAAATTTCGTGGTGTTGTAGGACATTTGTCATTCCATGTTAGCATTAAAGTCAGCAATACTGGCATGCCCAGTTGTGTAAATTTTGCTCATGTGAGTAAGTGTGAGTGAGTTTACATCAATGCTTTTTGCCTTTGCACAGTCTTGGTTAATACAGATCTATCAAACCTCAAGAGTTGTATTGCACTCATTTTGTATGTAGGGAATCTTTCTGTGGGCATATTGAAAGCCTGTGGTGAAATTAGGAATGTGTGAGGTCTTCATTTTATACCAGTCTCTATCATTGTGCCGTAATCACACCGTCACTACTTCCTTTCTTATTAAGCAGAGAAAAAAAAGTCTGTGTCTGTTGAAATTCTTGAGTGAAGGTAAAGAAAAGATGTAGATTCAGTATTCAGATACTTCTATAAACCTTCAGAAAGCTAAATAACTGATATGCCCTAATGTTCTGCACCAAGACATGGAGGGTGGATGATTAGAACTGATATGAGAATTCATTAGTTACATGTCGTGGTCAAAAGTTAAACCTGTCACTGAAAAATTCCCCTATGCACTCTGATTAGTGAGGGCCAACTAGTGATAGCTCCTGAACAGCTGCATTTTCTGCAGTTTTAACATGAATTGTTGGAAGTTGGCACACTATTGCACAGCAAGCCAGAAAAGTTAAAGACGTTGCAAGCAAATAGGTTTACATGTTATCTTAATATGGTTAAATTGACAAAAATTGTATAGCAGTATTTGTGATTTGGAGGTATTATGTAAAACTGTAAAATTTGGTGCTCAGTACTGGTAGAGAATTAGTGTGTTTTTACTGTCTCCCATGGAAAGCAATGTCATTAAATTAGCATAAAGGAGTAAAAAATCAACTTCAATCTCCTATATGTAAAACTAGTAGTGGTGTTTATTTCTGAAGTCTCCATACCATTTAAATTCCTAGTGAAGGACATTTCTTGCACATCTCTGATTAAAAACTATTTAAACCGTGGTTTAATATTAGTCTAATTTGATTTCACTGAAAGAAAAATGAGTAAGGCAAATCAATATCAACATGGTAAATATTTCTCACAGTGGAATCACATGTACAATATGAATTATTGATATTAAAACATTTCAAGCAAATATGTTATGGGTTTCTGATACTCTTTTGTACTAGAAACCCATAAAAAATTATTTTCTTACCATGTTCATCATACACACATTCCATTGCTTATCATGCTGATAGCTTAAAAAAGACCCTAGCAGAAGAACGCATCTCGTGGGAGTTTTGAATCTGGATTTGCTTCGGAATCAGCCAGTGCAGTAACGGCACCTACGTGGGAGGCAGGGGAGGGCTCCCAGGGTGGGAAGCTTTGAATATTCTCGTAGACATTTCTTTGGTGTTAATTCAAAATTGCTGGCTCCTTTCCTGTTTCTTACTCACAATGTCATGTGCGATGCATTCATCATCCTTTTCAGAAGTTTTCTGGAGAATTATGTCTTAGAAAGGAATTTGATGGACAGACATGCGTACATTTAACTTTGTTGTCATCAGAGATGCCTTGAGGTAAATGCAGTTGTGCAAGCATACACGAGAATTCAAACTAAATTGCTAAACTGGAACTATTTATGCAGTTTGACCCAGGGGAGACTTTTCAGAGGCTGGTTTTGACATGCCTCTGAGTAGCTATAGCCACTCATATGTTATGTTGCATATATACTGCTCGAGACTGTCATGCCGTCAGTCCTTTCTTTGCTGCAGACCTTCCATCTCAACAGTGGAATAGTCTCTTAGAGTAAGAGACTTTTACCTCTGAATGTCTTAATAACAAGGGTTAATTTGTTCTTTGGACCATCCCTTAGATTTTTTTTTCCAAATCATGAGAGACACTAATGCAACTACCAGATTGTGTTTACTTACATTTCCTTCCTGTACTTGTGTGCGAGAGAAAGATCAACTCCTTGGTTAAATCAGTTCTTCTAATCCCAATTAGTTTGGTTTTATACATTTAATCTCCTCTGACATTAGTACAGGTTCTCATAATTTTATATAAATACATAAGAATGAGATTTAACAATCTTTCACCTAAACCACTATGTGTTCTTACGCATTGATCAAAAAAATAAACACTTTCTCACCTGAAATTTATTTTGTGGCTGTTCTCTGAGTATAAAATGGCTAAATTAAGAAAAACACAATATAAATGTTAAGTAACAATAAATATATCTCCTCTTTAAAAGGAGATATATACATTATACATTTTTAATAT